AGTGAAAGTAACAAACGACGCTATATATAAGATTTCGCTTGGCAACATTTGATCAAACTATCAAAACTGTGTCAGCAATGGAGTTCATTATTTCTTCACGGTCGTTCGAACTGACCCAGAAACAGGAAGTAGATCTCGCTTGTCCTGAATGTGGTCCAAGAGGAGGATTTTCATTTAGGTCTATTATGCAACGTGGAAGACGAAAACAGCAAAGCCTTTTAAAAGCCCAGAAATGGCTCTGAGGCTAAACTAGTAAAGAAGAGTCGCGCAGGACACACTAATGTCCAGAGAAGAGGGGAAGTGTGTGCAGACAGCATGAGATTGGCTCAAACGACAAGTAGCCGCTGTAGAAGAAGCCAGACAGGAGCTGCTTGTGGATGCAGCCGTGCAGAAGAGCTCTCTAATGCTCCCCAAGAAACACAGCTTGTCCTAGATTCCTTGCAATGACATGCGCAATGTTGCAGAAGATCAGATGGATGGTTGTTTGCATGTCTCTCTGCATTGAAACGCAATGAAATCTAGAGGCCGGGCCTCACACGCTTTTATTGTATTCTCGGGTCTCTTTTCATTTTAGCACAGAACGTGTCTGATATTTTAATCTGATGACATTGTGCTTTAGAGATTCACACAGTTTGTTTCATCCTGAGATTACTTCATCTGCTGTATCAGGAAAACAGGCTACTCGAGTGAAAAGACAATCACAAGTGAACTGGGCCTGTAGGAGTGAGAGATATGACATCTTTTACAGGCTGACTGACAGATTTTAATATGCTACTGCACATCAGTGACATGATATCAGAATTTAAGTGCAACAGCTTGCTGTGCTGTTTTCAGTTGGGATTTTCTTTCTCTTTCTCTTCACATGAGGTTCATAAGCAATTCACATGCCAAGTGCAGCATTAAATAAGTCAACATTGATGAAAATAGCATAAACATGAATAAAAATGGCATTGGTAATATAAATGTTAATATAAAATGTGTTAATATATTTGAATTATACATGTGTTATACCTGTGCATACCTACGAAGCAGGGTTATTTAGTTATTATAAAATTATATTAATTTATATTATAGTATAAAAAATGTTTACTTACTTGTGTTAACTAAGTGTTAACTTAATATAATATTTCTCTCTTTTTTTTAGTTTAACTTGGTATATTAAAATACCTAAAACTAAAATAAAATGTATAAAATTGGATTGTTAATATAAATTATGTATATATAAATTATGTTATTATAAAGTTATTATGCAGTACATTTTTAAATATATTTGTTAATATTAGTTAATATAAAAATTGTACATGTTTATTATTGCATTATTGTATATATATATATATATATATATGTTGATATATTTTAGCAATATTTCTTGTTTTTTCTTTAAAAAAAAGTTGATGTTGAAGTTGAAGTTTAAGTTAAAGTAAGTTGATGCACTAAAATAACTAAAATAAAATAAAAAAGATAGATATATAGATCTGATAATGATATAGACTACACACACACACACACACACACACACACACACACACACACACAGACACAGACACACACACACGCACCTAGGAAGCAGGGTTATCACATTATTAATATATTTATATTCATTTATATTAATGTTTACTTACTTGAAATAAAAGTAATAAAAATAAGTATTAACCAAATAAATTATGTATTTATAAAATGTCAACTTATTTTTCAGCTAGTTGCATGCAATATTTCCTTTTTTATTTAGTTTAAATTGATGTACTAAACTAAAACTTAAATAACAATTATATAAACAAATTTAATAAAACAAAAACTCACAGAACTAACAAAAACACAAAATTACTAAAACTTTAACTAAAATTAAAAACAAATAACAATTACTAAACTGAACTAAAATGAAAATGGAAAATCTAAAAATTAAAAACAAATTTAAAATATGTAAAAAAAATTAAAAAAAAGTACATAAGAGATACTTAACAGATTATATAGATTTCAGTTATTTAAAGGTGCAGTAGTCTGATTGTCTTCAGAAAATTTTTTTGTTATGCTGGTTGAAAGTCTCTTCACATCCTGATAGCAATCATTAAGTTAATTGGTCTAAATTTATTTATTTATATTTATATATTCTGTGGAAGGCGTAGGACCAAGAAATGTTCATCCAATCAAAACAGTCGGTCCGAGCGTTTTAATTGGCTTTCCTACCTGCCTGTCAACATATGTATTAGCATACCTCTGCGCACCGGGTTCGCGCAGACAGGATACGTCATCAGCGCGTTCACGCACGCTGTGCAGACAGAGCGAAAATGGCAGGCAAACATCAACAACCCAATCTTCCTTCCTGGTATTGTAGTACTTTTAAAGTTTTCTCACCGGTGAATGACACATGATGTAGCCCAGCGGTTCCCAATTCCAGTCCCTGCGCCTCGCACCCGCTCTGCATATGTCTCACAGTTAACACACCCGATTCAGATAACCAGCTCGTTAGAAGTGAGCTACGTGCATGAACTGTGTTCCGATCGATATGATCCCTACACAGTGTTCATTGCTCCCTACTATCTGAGAGGGGAAATCTGTTGACGTTTACTTAACTTCAGAACATGGGCTGGAATTGGGAACCGCTGATGTAGCCTACTGTAGTAATGTTGTCTCTGGTATTCTGGTCTGTGAGCGTAAATGCGTTCAGGGGGCATGGCTTTGGAAGGCGATTGCAGGGAGGGTGGGACGTTCGCTTTCAGTGCTATCAGGCTAAAGTTAGCATTTTCCAAGATCTCCTACTGCACCTTTAAATATTAGACAGTTGTTCAAAATGGACTGTCATAATGCAATTAAGGCCACTGTATTGTTCTGAGCCAAACTGTGGCAGCACTGCAGTAGTCGTGACATCGCTGACACTTTTCAAATCAATGTCAACTCAAGGTGAGCTTAGGTGGGGCAGCTTTCTCTCTTACAGCACGTTTGGATAAAACAGCATTTAAAAGGCAATTGTTTAGTGTCTAATGCCATATCTAACAAACAACCTCACCAGATTTTCATTTCATATCTTAAATGTCTTTAAAATGCTAAAAATGGAAACCACCAGTGTTCGTGAAAAAAATAAACAATGAGAAATAAGAAGCCAAAACTATAAACTCATGCAAGTAGTAGGCTAACAAACCAGCACATACCTGCAAACAAAAAGTACTAACCAAAAGTACTATTTTGACATAATTAGGCTAATTATGGCCTAAAATTGACTGTGAATTAATATGACTGAGAATCATCTATGTGGTGTAGGATTCACCTGTTTCTTAAGACAAGGCGGGATGTCCATCCTGTGGGAAAATAGAGACGGCGGGCTTCTCCGAGCGTTTGGCGAAGATACAGCAGCCCCTTGTGAATGATCAGTGTATCACACCCATTCATTTTTCACTTCAGTCTGTGCCTGTTGGACAGTGTTTTGTTCAGTGACAAAATTTTCACATGTATTGCACTTTATCCCAGAGTGTGGCTTAATAGTTGGGGTCTTTTGAAGATAGTCCAGAACAATGTCTCTGTTGTATTGTCGTTGTTATGGCCCTCTGGTTAGATGAGTGAATCCATTTTCACTACCGTTTAGGTTTACCGAGGAACCTATCGTCGCTATGGAGACTGCATCACTCCAACGTGATTAGAAGTATCCAGTCGAAAGCGCTTTGAGTCTCTGATCTTTCCCCTCCCTTTTGTCTTCAGTGATCGGTACACATTAGTGAATTTGTGCTTGAATCAGTACAATTTTAGATCTTTGAACTCTGCACGAATAGTAGCACAAACGGAGAAAAAGTTCACACATAGCATCTTATGCATCTTTCACTGGTTGTTGTTGATATAGAACGGGCTCTTGACGAGACGACAATACACAATAGAGGCACACAAAATTAGTCATTTAAGACACTTATTCCAAGAAGTGATATGCTATCTGAGCGACACTTGTCCATAATGTAAGAAAATACACAATGCCTTTAAATGGGCTACCTCTAATTCATTATAATAAGCGCTTCCCTCCCTATTCTGGTAATAACTCCCTAAACTGGACTAAGTTTCCAGCAATGTCATGTCAAAGTAGACTATGCGATGCAACGAGTGCATTTGAATAGAATAGCTATTAACTTGTCATTGACGAAATATTGACTTTGTGGCAAGCCGTTTAACATTTGCCCATGAACTAGGCTATGTGTTTATTTAAAGTAATTCAGTAGTGACTGTTGTCTTTTCAATTTCACTTGTAAACTATTCATTGGATACTAGTACTTACTTTCACTACCTGTCAATATTCCAGAAGTTACAAGTAACTTGACTGTTTCTGGAAGATATTTTTGTCATTGATTTTTATGCGGATTTGTGGTACCGATGGTAACTGTTCACTTCCAATGATATATTTCTAATTGTTGCTGGTATTTATTCCAGTTTAGTACATCTTTGTTAGATACTAGTACTTATTTATGAGGCACAAATATATATTCCAACAGTAGGCCTATGTAATATGTCTTACAGTACATCATTAGATGTATTAGATCATTAGATGTAAAGACTAGTCAGAATGGCTACTGTATAGATAAAGTACAATAAAAACAAAATGTTACTAGTCGGAAGTGAATAGTTGATATATTAACCCAATAGAATTCAATGACAAAAGATGTGTTACCAGTAACAACGAAATAATCACTATTACACTGTGAAAAAAAATAAAAATAATAATTAAAAATAAAACACTTATTTTTGGGGGGAAATTAAGTATTTTATTAAGTTTTTTTTTTTTTTTAAGAAAATACTATTTCAGTCTTTCTGCTTGAAAATATCATGTTTAATTAAGTGTTTCTTGTAATTATGCCTATTTGTGAAAATTACTAGCAATTTTTGAGTGCAAATTGTTTCAAAGTAAATCATATACGCCAACTGTAAAAATAGGGCATGATGTATTGTTTTAATATATTAAGGAATTTTCTGTATTGATTTCTCTTACAGGTGTTTTACCTGTATTTTGAATTTTGCACTTCATTGCACTGTGTTTTAGGATTAAAGGAAATGTCTGTAAAAATTAAAGGATAATATCCTGGCAAAAAATTGCCAGTACATTTGAATTTTTTTCTATTCTGAAAATAGTTACAATAGCAATTGAAAACCTTGCTGGATTACTCAATTGTAATCAAAATGACTAGTAAAATAATAGCAGGTGGTAGTTAGTTTTAAGGAATAGCTGTTAAAGCGGCTTGCCACACGGATGTCACACATTGCCTATATGAATGAACGTACCCTAACGACAGCAAACGGACTGAAAGCCGATGGCGGCTTCCTCCTCACAGTAAAATGGTTCAGTCAAACAGGTGATAAACACTGCATGGCACTGGCGCGTTAGACATGTAACCATTTCCTCTGCGTCGTGGAAATGGAGGGCGACACACTCAGCAGCACTTGACTGTCATGACACGAACCTACAGCGTTGCCATCATCAGGCAGACTAGAATAGCCTACACGTCCGTGAACATCTTTTTAATGTCCACGCAGTTCTGGTTGTTCTGGGCGGGGAAGTTGGGCTGCTTGAAGGCGCCCTCCTCGATGACCATGTACTCCGACTTGCTGAGCGACGACGTGCTCCGCGTCTTCTTCAACTCCTCGGAGGAGGACAGAGGCTGGCAGCTGCCGATGTGGAGGTACTGCGCCTGCTCCTCTCCCTCAGTCTCTCGGTGGTAGAAGTAGTTGAAGTTGGACACGATGACGGGCACTGGCAAAGCGATAGTTAACACGCCCGCGATCGCACACAGGGAGCCGACGATTTTGCCCCCTATGGTGACTGGATGCATGTCGCCGTATCCCACGGTCGTCATGGTTACCACCGCCCACCAGAACGCATCAGGGATGCTGTTGAAGCCCGAGTCGGGATCGTCAGCCTCGGCGAAGAAGACGGCGCTCGAGAATAAGATGACCCCGATGAAGAGAAAGAAGATCAGCAAGCCCAGCTCTCGCATGCTGGCTTTGAGCGTTTGCCCCAGAATCTGGAGCCCTTTGGAGTGCCGCGAGAGTTTGAAAATCCGAAACACTCGCACCAGTCTGATGACCCTAAGAATGGCCAAGGACATCGCCTGCTGGCCGTTGCCTTGCCTTTCCGCGAGCTCGGTCCCCAAAGTGATGAAATAAGGTATGATGGCCACGATGTCAATAATGTTCATGATGTTCTTGGAGAACGTGGCTTTGCTGGGGCACGCGAAGAAACGCACGAGCAGCTCAAAGGAGAACCAGATGATACACAGAGTCTCCACCACGAAGAACGGGTCAGAGAAGGGACTGGTGAAGAACGGGAGAGTTGCGTTCGCCCGCGGCGCGACCGTCGTCGGGTCCCTGTCGTCCCTGAACTCGGGTAGCGTTTCCAGACAGAAGATGACGATGGATATCAAAATGACCAGCACCGAGACGATCGCGATGCCCCTAGCCGGACCCGAGCTCTCCGGGTACTCAAACAGCAACCACACCTGTCGCTGAAACTCATTAGCGGGCAGAGGACGCACCTCTTCCTTTATAAAGCCCTCGTCCTCTCGAAATTTCTCCATGGCCTCCTCCCCGAGCTCGTAGAAGCGTATCTCTTCGGAAAAAATGTCTATGGGAACGTTCACGGGTCTCCGTATGCGCCCTCCGGATTGGTAATAATACAAGATAGCATCGAAGCTCGGCCGATTCCTGTCAAAGAAATACTCGTTTCTGAGGGGGTCAAAGTAGCGCATTCTCTTCTTGGGGTCGCCAAGTAAAGTCTCAGGGAACTGGGACAGGGTTTTGAGCTGCGTCTCGAAGCGCAAGCCCGAGATATTGATGACAACTCTCTCGCAGCACTCGTGGTCTGGCTCATAGCGCTCCAGAGAGTGGTGCCCAGGCAGCGCCGCCGACTCCTCCAGCATGTTGTCGCATGCAACAATTGTCATGATGTCTTCAGTGTAGCCGTGGTTCACGAGGTTGTTGCCCCGGTGCTTGCTCGAGGAAGGCGGAGGCGAGTGGAGGAGGCTGAGGTGGTCGTCCATGCAGCTGTTTCGGCGGAGGGGCAGTGGAAGCCGCGCCTCCTCCACAAGCTCCGCGCCGCGCGTCCTCTCGCTCTCGATCCGGTCCTCCCGCCCACGGCAAACGTACTGTGGTTTATAAACATGACTGTTCCCGCCCACGGCGCGCGGATGCTCATCACACATCCACACGGCGCCCAATCGGAAACCTGACAGACATAAACATGAACCCCAGACGCGCGGGGTTACCACCGATTAGGGGAGGGCTGTGGGATAACGCGCATCGGCGTCAAGTGCCACCTAAAATGAAAACCCTCACTGACTTTTGCTGCATTAATTTCATTACGCGCATGAGGGAGCATATGAATTAATAGTTCACCATGGAGAGATTAATGTCTGAGAAATAAACCATGCAACCTGTAGGTTACGCGGAATCCGAATTAGTAGCTATACATTTACTTTCAACGAGTTCAGCTTTTTAAAGCAGTTTAAAGCAGAAGTTCATCTTGCGCAACAGTTGTCTTTTGGCGCCCTCTTCCAATTTTAAAAGAAACAATCACGTTTTTGTCATAATTTGGTATCTAAATCTATAATAAAGCGATTGATCAGCCAGTGGTTCGTGTTTATTACCCTACTGAAACAACCCCGTTAAAACGATTATGTCCCCAAGTGGTTTGTTTTGACCTCCTTAGGTGTTTTAAAGCTTTTAGCTGAGTTAGATCGCCCCCCATAATTCGCACCCTGACCATACGCAAATCTTGTTGAAATGTTATCAATAAACGGCTGTAGCTATGTGCTGCGTTGGTTGTCTCTGACTTCCATTCAGAATGTCAATGAGAGCGCGAGCCCCCACCTTCATAAAGATGAAAGGACACGCACCGACGTCACTCTGATTGACATTTGGAGCGCAGCAGGGACTTCATCTTTATGGAAACCCTCTCGATGTTGCAGACCCGCAATGTTGCATTAGTTAATTTGGGGAATGGTGGGCTTTGGATAATAATTGTTTGTTCAGACGTGTGACGGGTGTTGGCAACACAGTAGCCTAATGGATTAGTGGCAGATTTAGAAATATGTTGTTGATTTAGAAATCTGTTTTATGTTTTATTGTTCGTTCACGCTTTATACCGTGAAATGTTATCGATTTTGACGCTACAAGGCAAGAGAATGTGATGCCGTTTTGTTTTTCCCTTCCAAAACGTGTTGGTAACTTGCGCGTGATTTGAGACAAAAAGCCAGGAAAATATATCGGCGCTGTCCATAGTTCTGAAACCAGGAGAATCATCCTATATTCTTTTTATGTAATCCCAGTATATCACGTCTAACTCGGTGATCCCCTATGGTTATCAACACATTTAACACTGTATGTTGTTAAGAAAGAAAGAAAGGAAGAAAGAAAGAAGGAATATAATAAATGTATCAAATATAATAAATAATAAACCAAATCAAATTACATCAAATAAATCAAATGTATTTGTGGGTCAATGGTGTGATGCTCATATTTCGTCCAGATTGATCAGGTTATCCAAAAGTACATGAAAATGCTTTTTAAAAAGCCATTGATTGGAATAAAGAAAATTCAAATAATTTGAATGAGTATTATGACCTATTTAAAACAAAAATGCAAATTTAATTGAGGTAGTCAAATGTAATATCTTAAAACTCCAAGGTGATTCAAGTCATAATATTTAAAATGTAACAAAAATATATAAAATAATAGAAAAATATGTATATGTTTGAGAACTTTTCTGAAATCATGATTAATAATTCAGATATTGTTTTCAAGCAATTTTGAAAAATGTTTTTAACATATTTTGATTTAATGACAAATGTCAAGTGCTGTGGCCATCAAGTATTTTTTAACATCTTGGATATACTTGAGGCTACACAGCTCAAAGGGATACTCCACCCAAATAATAACAATTAAAAAAATTCTGTCATCATTAACTCATCCTCATGTTGTTCCAAAACCTGCATGCATTTCTTTCTTGTACAGAACTCAAAAAGACAATCATACAACATTTGTTCCACAACTGAAAGAAAATATAATTTGAGGGTGTGAGGGTGAGTAAACAACTCATCATTTGTTGGTGGAGTATCCCGTTTGTTTATGATTTCCTAATTTGGCACTTATATTTCGAACTACATTAAAAAAAATATCTATCTATCTATCTATCTATCTATCCCCACAGGTCCAAATGTGTCAGTATGAGGGAGAAAGAAGGAGTCTTTGTTTGTTTGATTCTGTGTCTTCCTCTCGCTCGCTGGACTGCTTCCCAGAATCCGCACACTTCTCCGAGCTCTCAGGGATTGTTCCTTTTAACACACAAAATAGAGCACATTACCCTGGACATTTAGAAGAAAAGCAGCTCTTCTTCCGCCTGCTCTCTGCTCTCTGTAGTCTGGCTTGAGTTTTGTTTTCTACTACAAAACCATATTAATATTTACATTTAAAGTCCAAAGACATCAAAAGCTTTACAGGCACATCTTAATTAAAAGGTTTCTCTTCTGTTTTCCTAAAAGTTACAAGCAATGAAAAGTGTGATACTGATGTGAATCTGCAGTGTTTTGAAGGTCCACCTCAGCCAAGAGCCTTTTATAATAGATTGTGTATTTATGTAAAAGGTTTGAGCCCTTTAATTCATTTAGCACTCATGTAAAACTGAAAGGCGCGCGGATGCTCATCACACATCCACACGGCGCCCAATCGGAAACCTGACAGACATAAACATGAACCCCAGACGCGCGGGGTTACCACCGATTAGGGGAGGGCTGTGGGATAACGCGCATCGGCGTCAAGTGCCACCTAAAATGAAAACCCTCACTGACTTTTGCTGCATTAATTTCATTACGCGCATGAGGGAGCATATGAATTAATAGTTCACCATGGAGAGATTAATGTCTGAGAAATAAACCATGCAACCTGTAGGTTACGCGGAATCCGAATTAGTAGCTATACATTTACTTTCAACGAGTTCAGCTTTTTAAAGCAGTTTAAAGCAGAAGTTCATCTTGCGCAACAGTTGTCTTTTGGCGCCCTCTTCCAATTTTAAAAGAAACAATCACGTTTTTGTCATAATTTGGTATCTAAATCTATAATAAAGCGATTGATCAGCCAGTGGTTCGTGTTTATTACCCTACTGAAACAACCCCGTTAAAACGATTATGTCCCCAAGTGGTTTGTTTTGACCTCCTTAGGTGTTTTAAAGCTTTTAGCTGAGTTAGATCGCCCCCCATAATTCGCACCCTGACCATACGCAAATCTTGTTGAAATGTTATCAATAAACGGCTGTAGCTATGTGCTGCGTTGGTTGTCTCTGACTTCCATTCAGAATGTCAATGAGAGCGCGAGCCCCCACCTTCATAAAGATGAAAGGACACGCACCGACGTCACTCTGATTGACATTTGGAGCGCAGCAGGGACTTCATCTTTATGGAAACCCTCTCGATGTTGCAGACCCGCAATGTTGCATTAGTTAATTTGGGGAATGGTGGGCTTTGGATAATAATTGTTTGTTCAGACGTGTGACGGGTGTTGGCAACACAGTAGCCTAATGGATTAGTGGCAGATTTAGAAATATGTTGTTGATTTAGAAATCTGTTTTATGTTTTATTGTTCGTTCACGCTTTATACCGTGAAATGTTATCGATTTTGACGCTACAAGGCAAGAGAATGTGATGCCGTTTTGTTTTTCCCTTCCAAAACGTGTTGGTAACTTGCGCGTGATTTGAGACAAAAAGCCAGGAAAATATATCGGCGCTGTCCATAGTTCTGAAACCAGGAGAATCATCCTATATTCTTTTTATGTAATCCCAGTATATCACGTCTAACTCGGTGATCCCCTATGGTTATCAACACATTTAACACTGTATGTTGTTAAGAAAGAAAGAAAGGAAGAAAGAAAGAAGGAATATAATAAATGTATCAAATATAATAAATAATAAACCAAATCAAATTACATCAAATAAATCAAATGTATTTGTGGGTCAATGGTGTGATGCTCATATTTCGTCCAGATTGATCAGGTTATCCAAAAGTACATGAAAATGCTTTTTAAAAAGCCATTGATTGGAATAAAGAAAATTCAAATAATTTGAATGAGTATTATGACCTATTTAAAACAAAAATGCAAATTTAATTGAGGTAGTCAAATGTAATATCTTAAAACTCCAAGGTGATTCAAGTCATAATATTTAAAATGTAACAAAAATATATAAAATAATAGAAAAATATGTATATGTTTGAGAACTTTTCTGAAATCATGATTAATAATTCAGATATTGTTTTCAAGCAATTTTGAAAAATGTTTTTAACATATTTTGATTTAATGACAAATGTCAAGTGCTGTGGCCATCAAGTATTTTTTAACATCTTGGATATACTTGAGGCTACACAGCTCAAAGGGATACTCCACCCAAATAATAACAATTAAAAAAATTCTGTCATCATTAACTCATCCTCATGTTGTTCCAAAACCTGCATGCATTTCTTTCTTGTACAGAACTCAAAAAGACAATCATACAACATTTGTTCCACAACTGAAAGAAAATATAATTTGAGGGTGTGAGGGTGAGTAAACAACTCATCATTTGTTGGTGGAGTATCCCGTTTGTTTATGATTTCCTAATTTGGCACTTATATTTCGAACTACATTAAAAAAAATATCTATCTATCTATCTATCTATCTATCCCCACGGGTCCAAATGTGTCAGTATGAGGGAGAAAGAAGGAGTCTTTGTTTGTTTGATTCTGTGTCTTCCTCTCGCTCGCTGGACTGCTTCCCAGAATCCGCACACTTCTCCGAGCTCTCAGGGATTGTTCCTTTTAACACACAAAATAGAGCACATTACCCTGGACATTTAGAAGAAAAGCAGCTCTTCTTCCGCCTGCTCTCTGCTCTCTGTAGTCTGGCTTGAGTTTTGTTTTCTACTACAAAACCATATTAATATTTACATTTAAAGTCCAAAGACATCAAAAGCTTTACAGGCACATCTTAATTAAAAGGTTTCTCTTCTGTTTTCCTAAAAGTTACAAGCAATGAAAAGTGTGATACTGATGTGAATCTGCAGTGTTTTGAAGGTCCACCTCAGCCAAGAGCCTTTTATAATAGATTGTGTATTTATGTAA